GCGACCGTGTTTGTATTATTATATTATAAATAGGTTACATTAGTTATATATAAAATATGAGGGCATAACCTTACACCCCAACCCAATTATTTTGTAATCAAACAAATAGGCAACCTAAGTCCAATTTTCTCTACTCCAACATCTACCTGCCTATTATGATTATGAGCCATGCACAACCATACATGTCTATACATAACAACAAACCTACATAAAATACAATATCTATCATTTAAATTGAAATAGTGTACAAAGTAAACTAGCTAACAATCAAAGAGAGTTAACAATAAAGTTAAAGTTAACAATAATAGTCATTAATTAATAACAATGAACAATTACTATAAAAATGTACCAATGTAATCAAATAACAATGAATCCAAAGTAAACTAACCAATGTATCCAAAGTAAACTAACCAATGTACACAAAGAAAACTAAAACAATGTACAAAATTATAAATCAACCCTCAAATTTGCTCAAAAGAAATAGATGTCCATCTTTTGTTGATATCTACCAACTCTTCATCGACAAATGAAGTTGAATTTTTGTTTTGCATCAGGGGGTTTCCACACACACATGTGTCTCCATATTGGTAAGATATTATGTGCTTTGGACCTAAGCCTTCACAATTTTACTCTTGTTAGAACGATGTGAGACTGTGCTTGTATCCTAATAATCATTCCCTCAAATAAAGGACCATGGTTTAATCCCCTTTTACAATGCATGAGCTATTAGTCCACGAGTATATTTGATAGTGGCTTATAGAGCTCAGTCACGTTCTAAGTACTTGCACCACTGCTTCATCGTTAACTCATGATAGCGAGACACACCTTATAACCCTCCATATTACTAGGAGGATTTTCCTCTATAAATAGACCTACCATTAGGAAGACTTTCAACACAAGGGATCCTATGCCTAGATCCATCTACCTAGGGATGGCAATGGCGCCCTATGGGGGCGGGTAATAGTAAACCCGTCCCCACCCCGTTAGATGAAAATTGGCCCCAATCCGACTCATACCCACGCGGGTATCCGTTAAGCGGGTATCCATGAATTTCTTGAATATCCGTGGATATCCATGGATATTTATAAATTTTTTAAGAAATTAAAAAAATTATATTACAAATAATTTTAAGTTTATATTTAATGTCATTGAAATATTAAAAATAAAAATTTAATGTTAATTTTGAACTTGTAATTAATGTTAATTCTGTTAAAATATTTATAAAAAAGCAATATAATCAATAACTTAAAATACATCAATCTCACAAGTAAGTAAAAGTCTCATATCACAAAGTTACAATAATTCAATCTCATAATGTTTGATGACTAATGTGTGGGTTGTGCGACTATGAAAAAAAAATAAGATGAGAGAATGTAGTTTTAGGGTTATGTGGTACAAGGATAATTAGAATATTTAAGAAATGTTATTAAACGAGTATCCGCGGGTATGGATACATCATACTCGCTCTCGCCCCGTTTACAAACGGGTAAAAAATTATCTATTCCCATTATCTGCAGGTACCCAATTAGCCTACCCGTTTATTATCCGTAGCGAATTTTACTCACAGATACCCACAGGTGCAGATACTTTTTCCATCCCTACATCTACCAACTTTGTCGTACTCATCGAGTCAATCACCTAGTTGGCTATTGGCTTTGATACCAACTGTAATGTTTTGGGGGTTTCCACACACACGTGTCTATACACTGGTATGATATTGTCCTCTTTCTGTCTAACCCTTCATGATTTTATTTTTGGACATCACCTAAAATGCCTTTTTCAATGAAGACAATTGCCTGTGTATATAAAATCATATCTATCCTCTTGTTTGAACGATATACACCTTTACTTGTATCCTAACAACATGCCTATAATTAATTAAAAATAGAGATAACTTATACATTAGTCGATCAATAAACAATTAAATAATCACTTAAAGTAATTAATTAAATTCAAAATTGTATTACCTTTCTCCATGAGTCCTTAATGTTGTCCATAACAATGGTGACCATATGTTTCATCATGTAATAGTCGTACTCATGATTACCCAGTTGACGTAGACATTACAATTTAGTGAATATAAAATATAAATAAAATATATTTAAAATATATTTTAATTCAACTATAAGTATTATCAGGTTAACAATGGACTTACTGATGAAACTAGTGGAAGAGAAGATTGATGTATCTTTTCAACTAGCTCTATTGATTTTTAATCTCCATCCATGGAACTCTAGGCTTGGAAACAAACCGAAAACGACGGACAAGACAAGGAGATGGTGTGCCACTTCACAATGAAGGTAAGCAAGAGTTGAAGAACTTGTCACAAGAAAAAACTATTTAATAAAAATTCAATATTATAATCAAGTCCCTTGTGTTAGTAGTTGTAAAGCCTATTCAAGATACGAGGGGTCAACCTAACATTTCCAAGATCAATTCCCATAATATTAAAATAATATTTGATGAGTGAAAATAATAACTAACAAACACATTATTTTTTTATTATGAACTTTAAGATGTTACGAATTATATATCAAAAATATTATTTATTGTATAGACAATGCATGCGTCTCCAATTTCACATCAAATCACTTCTAACAATAGTTTTAATTTATTCCCTTATAAATGTTAACAAAAATGTATTATGCGCACAACCTATATGATGCTCCTCTTTAGATTCCCGTTGTTGCATGGGTACAAAAATTATTTAAAGAGAATGAGAATCATGATTGGGAAACAAAATAAAATGAAGAAAATGATAAAAATAATCAATTTCATTCAACATTAAATGCAAATAATTTTGTAGGACTTCTTTAGGGTATTAATTATTTCCTTGGTGTGGTGCCTGGCAGTTGGCGATGGATGAAATGGAGTGGAGAGCCAAATAAAATTATTAAACATTTATTTCCTAATATTTTTTTATCATAATTATTTTATATTTAATTACATGAAAAGAAATAAATCAATGTTTTCATATCATCTGGTCCATGCAATCCAAATATATATATAATTATGATAGA